AGAGATGTTACGTCACTGGTGTTGGAGTAATGACGTAATGGGCGATTTTTTCAAATACAAACAGGGGTCACGTGACACCTCGTTTGAAAGGTCTACCGATCGTCTATCCAACAGTCAAAATTTTGCATAATAAGATTGAAATTAAAATGGTTTATCATTCGGTTAACTGAATCTTGCAGAGGTCTGCTACTGAGAATTGAACATCGAAGGGTCGTCTAGTTGAAAAAATACACAATAAAAAAAGTTCTGAACTCTAGTTCTTGGATTTTTTTCGGGAGTCGTCTTGTTTTGAAATGAATTTATTCCATACATTTGTATCATACTGTATATATCATGAACATGGAAACATGGATACATACAGTATGGTGGAAATGTATGGAATAAATTCATTATCTCTAACGCATATGAATTTGAAGAAAAATCCTGAGACAGGTCGATTTTTATTTTCAAATTGACACCTCTTGATATACATACAGAGTTTGTAACGTCATCCGCGTAGTTGTGGTGACGTCATCGATTATTTTTTTAAATGGATGTAGAAATCGAAAATTGATTGGCTATGAATCCATTGATGCCTTATAACTGCCTCTATTATGTAGAATGTCATACCACTACCTGAGCCAGTGTAAGGCGTTATGGAAGGCTAAAATTCGAAATCTTTGGTACTGATACGCTTCAACAGGAAGATCAAATTTCTAAGGTGGACGAACATTCTGACCTTCATCAGAAATCCACGGAGGTTCGAAAAGGAGAATTAGGAGAAGGAATAGTAGAGGTTATGTGTACATGACGTGTGCAGCAGGGGTCGGCAAAAAAGGCTCACTGGGGTCTACTTGCTAGGCGACCGCCTCCCCTTTCTCTACTACTACTAGTATGTACCTATTCCTATGAAAAATTAATTGACAAACTTAAAATTTCTTATCACTTGTAGTATCCTGAAGATGATATAAAATGGAAGAATATAATATGTTACATCTTGAACTAGTATTTTCATGCAAATATAATAGGTACAAATCAGGAATCTATTATTGGTGCCGAAACTGCGACCCATACTAGATTTAATCATGAACCTGTATGCAAATCAAATAAAGAAATAAATTCTAAAATTATTTTGTTTTCAAACACAATCTGGTGTGAGGTTTTCTTGCCAAATACCACACGAGGTCAAATACCTCCGGGAATTTTTTAGAGCTCATGAATATTTCGTAAATTATCCCTCGTCTTTGACTCTAAAATAACAAAAAAGTTTCCATGAACACGGGTCCGCAAGGTCTTCGGTTAATAGATAGTGTTGAATTTTATTTTTTTGGGTTTATTTTGATTATCTTTATCTAGAGTCCCTTGATGAAAATTGACGTTGAAGTCATCTCAACAGGGTACGGACCTACGGACAGATCATAGCTGCATCATATACGTATTAATAATCAATACGGATAATCTCTATCTGTTTCCATAGCAAAACATGAAGCCGATTTTTGAAGACATCAAATGACTATCCATAAGGAAAAGTTTTGAAACGATCAGACACATACTGATTTGATTGAAAGGCTAGTAAACGTCATTGTCCACCGAAACGCATGTCTTTGATGACTACTATAATAGCGCATGGCGCATGCGTATCATGCCACCAAATAATCCTTATGGATATTCATTTGTTTCATATTTTTGGCTTCATCCTGGCACCCGTTAGGTATGATCCGTATTGTTTATTAATACGTATATGAGCTGCATTCTTTTTTAATGATCTAGAGACTTTAGTTTTTGTCTACTGGCATCCCTGACATTGCTGTCACGTCACATCCATGGGCGCTACAGAACATCATTCAAAATATTAATAATCGGTATGTACGGGGTATTTACTTGTTGAGGAATATCATATGGTGAACGAGTTTAGTGACCGATTCTATATAAAATTGGAAGGTATCTGGGGTTCCGGGGTTGGAGATGATGATTGTTTCGTCAAATTGGAAAATTCAAGATGACGGATCCAATATATAGCAAAAGAAATGTCTAATCATGATCTGATTCTATCTAAGATTGGTATCTATGAGAGTTTTCGGGGTCGAACTTTATGATTTTTTGTCAAAAATGGGAAATTCAAGATAGCGGATCCAATATGGCGAATGCAGTTCGTAATTATATATGATCCGATTCTATTCAAAAATCAGAGTTGGTTATCACCATTTCTCAATCATAAGGCATCACCTCATAGAAGAACTACTGCTCATCAGCTTGAGATCATAATTCATTAATGAATTCTGACAGAATTGACTGAATTCAGTCAATTCAGTCAGCCCTGGTATACAATCTAAGAACAGTCTCTTTTGGTGAAATATATCAAGCTTTCAGAACAATTTTTATGTTCCCTACCTCGCAAAGATTATGCTCCAATTTAATGATGACTAAATCAGCCCCTCATGACAAAGAATATCATTCCCAAATTTCGAGAGAACCAGTGGAAGGATATTTGAGATGTGCATAAAAAACGTTTTTTTTTTAAAGTTTGATGCACTGTATCTTGAAACTATGCATTTCCGGACCCAAGTATACAGTCTGTCCAAGATAAGGTTGAACAGCATGGGGATCTCGAAAACGGTGAGAGATACGAAGTCGGTTGAATGGGGAAGAAGTTGCGCATTCGGAGGCTCATATCAAGAGCCTTCGAAAATTTTAAAAATTATTTTTAGTTTTTGAGTTATATCGAAAAAAGTGAATTTTTGGAATATTCATTTTATTTTTTTTCTCCGTTATTATTAGAGATACAGCGGAACTGAGACTACTTTTTCATAGCAACTTCGTTCAACGTGGTGATACCGATTTTTTTTATGCGACGTTTCGTATTCGTGGAACCATCATCAACTTTTGTTTTTTAGATACGGTCCTGATAATTTTTTCACAGATTCTGAAAGGTTTTTTTATTTTGAATTCAACCATGTATTATACAAAGTGGTTTATGTGTGTTTCGACCTTTTTTTCAGCCATCATCAATGTTTTTTCGAAATTCCAAAGAAAAATGCCATCAGTTCCACTTATTTTAAAGGAAAATTAGTCAACACACTAATACCTCATCAACTGGTTTCAATCAACAACCCATTTCATTTTACGGAAACAAAAATTCCGTCCATAAAAATTCAGAATATGTCAAGCGCTAAATCCAGGCGATGACGAAAGGCGCAGAACATTCTGTGAGTGGTATACCAGGAAATGTCAAAATTTTGCAGATTTCTTTCGAACGATCATCTGGACTGATGAAAGCATGGTCACTAATTATGGTATCTTCGATAGAAAAAATACACATTATTGTTCACGAGAAAATGAACATTTATACATTACAGCGAGACACCAACACCTTTTCGGCTTTAATATGTGGGTTGCAATATTTGGTACACGAATTATTGTTCCTTCTATTTACCATGAAACACAGACTTCCAAACGTTATAGAAATTCGCTTGAGAATCATTTTGAGGAAGCTCTGGATGATTTACCGATTGCGGAAGTTCAGAGCTGTTGGTTTCAACAAGTTGGCGCTCCGGTACATAATTCCAGAAAAGTCCGTGCGTTCTTATCCCTTGGCCGGCGCGGTCGCCTGATTTGACACAGCTGGATTTTTTCTTAGGGGATATATCGAACTTTGTACACGAAAATAACTTTGATGATGAAGAAGAACCAAGGGACAGTGTCTTCGAAGCATTCAATAGAATAACCCCAGAAATGCTTAGCAATGTCTTAGAAGCAACTGTGAGAAGAGCATATCTTTGTTCAGAAAATAATGGTTATCATTTTGAACATTTGTTATAAATGTCTCTGTAGAATACCTACAATACAAAGTTAAGTTGTTAAAGTAATTCGTGCAAGAATTCATCAACAATTTTAAACGCTGCATTGATCGAATGATGTAGTGAAATATTTTTTATTCACTTTCCAGTATTGAATAACTAGGTAATCCATCAAGTTTGACACTAAATGATCAGAAATAAGTGGAACTGATGGCTTTTTTCCTTTCGAAGTTCGAAAAAACATTGATGATGGATAGAAATAGGTCGAAACACATTCGAATCACCTTTTATAGTACATGGTTGAATTCAAAATGAAAAAACCTTTCAGAATCTGTGAAAAAATTATCAGGACCGTATTTAAAAAACAAAAGTTGATGATGGTTCCACGAATACGAAACGTCGCATAAAAAAATCGGTATCACCACGTTGAACGTCATCAAAAGTTGCTATGAAAAAGTATTTTCAGTTTTTCTGTATCTCTGATAATAACGGAGAAAAAAAATAAAATAAAAATTCCAAAAATTCACTTTTTTCGATATAACTCAAAAACTAAAAATAATTTCCAAAATTTTCGAAGGCTCTTGATATGAGCCTCCGAATGCGCTACTTTTTCTCCATTCAAGCGACTTCGTATCTCCTACCGTTTCCGAGATCCCCATGCTGTTCAACCTTATCTTGGACAGACTGTATATGAAATGAATTTCATGTTTTCTCATGCAGAATCACTCCCTCGATTGTTTGCGCATAATTTCCGGACACCCTGTATATCGGGTGACACAGGAGACATGTAACAGTCTGTAGTTTTTTCATTTGAAGAGATAAAAATTTGGAATTCACAAGGATTATATTATCGATGATGGCGCTTCCCTTGAACCCAATGACAATTATTTTCAACCACCTGTTTGATTGGAAGTAGACCCAACTTTTTTTCAGATGGCACCCTGTATATTTCTCATTCGCTTTAAAATTCCGTATTCAAATATGTATCACAATTTGATATTCGTTCATTAATTGGCTGTTGAATTACATTTTATTGATATACATGAAGTTGACTGTGGCCCGAATACAATGACATTTCGATGCTTGATAGTCTTAGAAATCCAAAGATCATCAATATTTTCCATATCCTTATCGGTCCCAGAAAATTTCCAATAATTTCATTGAGATTAAAAAAATCATCCGAAAATAACTCACGAACGTTAATTCTATGTGGAAATTATTTTGAGCAAATCATCCTTTCACCCCAACATTTATTTATAAAATAAAAAAAAAGCAGGATACCTATACATTGTCTATACTATTATTGCACTTAAATCATGCATTGCAATCTTTTCAATGTATGTTCACACATTGTGTTCATATTATCAACTTCGCGGTACTGTCAGAAGTGTCTAATTTTCTATATCTACTCATAGACCAACACTGGAAGGTACTGAAGCCTATGAAAATCCCCATCAAAAAGCTCACTACGATGATCAAAAACTGATTTAGACCCAAATGGACTCCCATAACGACCAGATTTTGTTTGTCGCATACAACGATCTCCAGATCATCAGTCTGGGTACTGTTTGAGTCCTCCTTAACCAGAGCGTATGGTTTATCGTGATTTATTGTACCAATCAATTCACTTTCCTTTCCATAATTCTCTTCACCAGTTTGACTGCTTCTTTCCCGAGATAGCGAACTTTTTTCACTACCATGATTCTCGACACATATACTACGATTTATCTTCATGGTGTTTCGTTGGAATATATCGGAATGATTCGAAGAGGTTACCGAATAGCACCGATATAGCTCAGCATCAGTATCGATATAGTTCTTTCTTGCCAGATATTCGAAGAGTTCTGCTGTCTCGCAATTGCATTCCCAAGCGTTGTAAGACAGCTTTACGGAGAAGTTGTCGCTTGGAAGTCGTTCGAAAACTTCTGGGTCTATAATCTTGATGTTGTTTTGCTGCAAGAGCAGCATCTTCAGATTCGGCAGGTACCTCAAGGCGTCTGCTGTGACGTTGGTGATTTTTGAATTTGCCAAAGACAGAACTTCTAAACTAGTCGATTTTATTATGGGCATGTTGCCAGAGAACTGGTTGCCAGAGAGCTCTAGCAGCAGCAAATTGGGCAAGTCTTCTACGAAGTCTTCTGGGACGTTGTTTAACAAATTTTCCCCCAAGTAGAGCTCTTGAAGATTGTCCATTTCATCGAAAGCTTCGCAGCTTATGTCGATCACTTCCGAGTTGTTCAAGTAGATTTCCTTTACTTGTAGGGTTTTATCGAAAGATAGGTCATCAGGGCCTATCTCGTTCAGATTGTTGCCTGATAAATCAATTATGGTGGGGTTGTTGTCCAAATTTTCTAAATTCGGGATGACCGTCAGTCCATTGTTCATGCATGAAACTGCGTTTTCTGTGCAATTACAGGTTGATGGGCAGCTACTACCATCACTTAAGTGGTAAAGAGTGAACAGAAAGAACAATCTTGTCACGATCATGTTTTTCCTGTAAAAATCAGATTTATTTATAATAATAATGAGCATTATAATTTCGTACGAATAATTTCAATGGAACAACCCCTTCTGAAACTGTACCCTTTATAGTTATTAAAAATTTTCCCGTTTTTCATGTTGATGTATTGAACTATAGTGCTTTTTATAGGTACACGATAGTCCAAAATTGTTTTTAAATATGTCTGCGACGTTTTATGGTACATCCAAAGTAGAAGCTTTTGTGTATAATTATAGATATTTATTATACAAGGGAAAAATTGTAGATACGAGTCGGGAGACAAAAATCCGTGAGCTGAAATCTAATATTTTTCCCGTCTATAATACACTATTTTTTTTCCGGGACAGGAAAAAGGACGATTCAATATTGAGAAGTTATTACAATACATTACATTATTATTACCTACATTGCAGGCATCTTTTCGCTCGCATTTTCTGAAGTATCTAATCAAATATCTCTCAGTCTAATTCTGTGATTTGATTTTGAATAATTGTGAACTAAGTGATTGTTTTAGTAATTTATGTAACCGCGACGTGGAGTAAGATACAAGGACTTGACCAGTAAATGACCAGCTCCCAAATCATATACCTAAGAGGTTGCGAATTGGTGAACATGATTATTGTGAAAATACTGTCCGTAGGTTAATCGAGGAGGTGGTATATATTCATTATTCCTGATTTTTTGGGATTTTCTCTCTCTGATAGGAGAATTCTTTTTTCTACAAGCGTGCGTGATTCACCCTATACCCGCACGCAATTTAGTTTGGGAAGTGTCATTTTCCCGCAACATTGCGGAAAAAATTTCCCAGACTAGTGCGGGAAATTTTTTCCCGCACTAGTGGGGGAAAGTCAAAGATATATGATAATACGGCAAAATATAAGTGGTAGGTGATGGAATATGAGAGTTTGAGTTTGTTTGTTGTAGTATCAAGTATTTATGTTCAGAATCATCCATCAAATTGCACTATTTATTGTGAAAATTAGGAAATATTGAAAAATAAAAATTGATTATAATGAAAATCCCCCCATAGATTTGGATTGATCTGATGGGAAACGATTATTGTTGTCATGCCAATCAAACCTAAAATGAGTTTGTAATTGTCGGAAGTGACAGACACAGCGTTACTGTCATTTTCGATTCAGTGGAATTGCCATAATGTGATCAAAAACTTCCAACTATAGGGATGCGATACAGATGCGTTATTGCTAACGAAGTCTTAAGAAAGGTATGAGAAGCTATACACGCGTTTTATTGAATAGGACAACAATAAAGAAATTAAAATACCGAATAGAGAAGAAGTATTTTTGGCTCATTTCCTAGAAGTGCCTGAAACCTAGAGACCAAACACCTTATGGGCCTGCTGGCTTCCGCAATGAACCTATACATAATGCGTCAAACTGTAAGTTCACAATAGCTATTACTAATAATCAGTAGATAGAGAATATATTTCTCTTGTTAGTTGTTCCTATATATGAAAGAATAATTAATTGAACAAATCGATCAATTTCCTACGCTTGTAGAAAAAATATTGTTCCTAACTCATGCGAAAAGTGTCTTTCCCGCACTCGACTGCTTGCCCGAACTCCGCTTCGCGTCTTTCGTGTCAACGGCAGTCGCGTGCGGGAAAGAATCACTTTCCGCACTTGTTAGGAAAATTACTATAAACGCAGTGACATTTTGTGGCAAATCATCTGATTTGTCCTTACTACACGTATATTGAAATTCATGTTCTTATTTTATAGAAACAAGGAGAGGAAATCCCAAAAAATCTGGAATAATGAATGATTATTGTGGTCAATAACTCAACACAAATGAGGTAGAAACGAGCAAAACATGATAATTCTAACATCATAAACGAGTAGTATGGAGAAGCACCAAAATGAATTTTGTTATTTATCTCGGAAACCAGGGAGAATTATGAAGAAACTGCAGTTAGAAAACAGTGTGATAATCTATTTTTTCCACCACTAGCTATATAACCTACCATCATTTACTCCTTTTGAAGGTGTAAAGTGTGTTTTTACTACCACTAGTCAATAAAGACATAGCCAGGTAGCCAACAATTGGACATATATGGTTAGTTTGAATGGAAATGACTTTCCCTACCACCCCATTTCTTTTGATTCATGAACTTATGGGACACCCTGTATATGATATGGAAATGATTATATGTATACATCTGTGTCTGTAATGTAGGTAAGCATGAAATAAATTGGATATTTACTAAACTGGAAGCCTCTTTGAAACACGTCGATTTTTAATTTGAATGTTCGAAAATCAACAACAAAATTTCATGACATAGGGTGATACACAGGTGGTGAGCGACGTCATCAGCAATTTGTTTTAATGTAACATGCTGTCTTTGTCATATACGTATTAATAATCAATACGGATAATCTCTATCTGTTTCCATAGCGAAACATGAAGCCGATTTTTTAAGACAAATGACTATCCATAAGGAAAAGTGAGATACGATCAGACACATACTGCTTTGATTGAAAGGCTAGTAAACGTCATTGTCCACCGAAACGCATGTCTTTTATTACTACTATAATAGCGCATGGCGCATGCGTATCATGCCACCAAATCCTTATGGATATTCATTTGTTCCATATTTTTGGCTTCATCCTGGCACCCGTTATGATCCGTATTGTTTATTAATACGTATATGGTCTTTGTGACCCCAAGTATAGTAAATATACCTGTTTGGAATCAGCTCATTTGAATTGATCTAAAAATGTCAAAAGATATAGCGAGTTACACCTCAATATGTATACCCTGTTAATTGAGATTCTGTGAAAAAATGTAAAGATCAAAATTAGAAATAGACATGTATCAGATTTTTTTGAAGAGGTTATCAGTTTAGGAAATATCGAATTTATTTCATGCTTTACGAACACATATATATACATACGAATATTGTTGAATTTGTATGTTGTTACTGTTAGGATGATATAGTAAATCAGTTTTGTGCTGCTTTTTATATTGTTGAGATTCTTATAAGTTTCTTTCAGAAATTAATAGCAGATCTATTGTGCTTTTCAGGTTGCTTTCTTTAATTTCAATTCTCAATCATATATACACTCACCGGCAAAAAAACTGGCTAGAAAAAAAGATCGGCCTGTAAATGTTTCCGTTCTTGCCCGATTCTACTCTACTGAAATTTTGACCAAATCGTATCAAGATGAATGCGTCTTTGGAGTTCATGCAAAAAATGCTCTTAAGGTTCTGAATCAATGTTAAAACTCAAAAATGAAAAATCCATATTTTCTTAAAACACAACTATACAGTCTGTCCAAGATAAGGTTGAACAGCATGGGGATCTCGAAAACGGCAAGAGATACGAAATCGGTTAAATGGGGAAAAAGTTGCGCATTCGGAGGCTCATATCAAGAGCCTTCGAAAATTTTGAAAATTATTTTTAGTTTTTGAGTTATATCGAAAAAAGTGAATTTTTGGAATTTTTATTTTATTTTTTTTCTCCGTTATTATTAGAGATACAGCAAAACTGAGAATACTTTTTCATGGCAACTTTTGATGACGGTCAACGTGGTGATACCGATTTTTTCATGCGACGTTTCGTATTCGTGGAACCATCATCAACTTTTGTTTTTTAAATACGGTTCTGATAATTTTTTCACAGATTCTGAAAGGTTTTTCTATTCTGAATTCAACCATGTATTAAACAAGGTGGTTCATTTGTGTTTCGACCTATTTTTGGCCATCATCAATGTTTTTTCGAAACTCCAAAGGAAAAATGCCATCAGTTCCACTTATTTTGAAGGAAAATTAGTCAGCACACTAATACCTCATCAACTGGTTTCAATCAACAACCCATTTCATTTTGCGGAAACAAAAATTCCATCCATACAAATTCAGAATATGTCAAGCGCTAAAACCAGGCGATGACGAAAGGCGCAAGACATTCTGTGAGTGGTATACCAGGAAATGTTAAAATTTTGCAGATTTCTTTCGAACAATCATCTGGACTGATGAAAGCATGGTCACTAATCATGGTAGTAGCTTCGTTAGAAAAAATACACATTATTGTTCACGAGAAAATGAACATTTATACATTACAGCGAGACACCAACACCGTTTCGGCTTTAATATGTGGGTTGCAATATTTGGTACACGAATTATTGTTCCTTCTATTTACCATGAAACACAGACTTCCGAACGTTATAGAAATTCGCTTGAGAATCATCTTGAGGAAGCTCTGGATGATTTACCGATTGCGGAAGTTCAGAACTCTGTTGGTTTCAACAAGATGGCGCTCCGGTACATAATTCCAGAGAAGTCAGTGCGTTTTTATCCCTTGGCCGGCGCGGTCGCCTGATTTGACACGGCTGGATTTTTTCTTAGGGGATATATCGAACTTTGTACACGCAAATAACTTTGAGGATGAAGAAGAACTAAGGGACAGTGTCTTCGAAGCATTCAATAGAATAACCCCAGAAATGCTTAGCAATGTCTTAGAAACAACTGTGAGAAGAGGATATCTTTGTTCAGAAAATAATGTAGGTATTGTCAAAGTTAAGTTGTTGAAGTAATTCGTGTAAGAATTCATCAACAATTTTAAACGCTGCATTGATCGAATGATGTAGTGAAATATTGTTTATTCACTTTTCAGTATTGAATAACTAATCCATCAAGTTTGACACTAAATCATAAGAAATAAGTGGAACTGATGGCTTTTTTTCTTTTGGAAGTTCGAAAAAACATTGATGATGGATAGAAATAGGTCGAAACACATTCGAATCACCTTGTATAGTACATTGTTGAATTTAGAATATAAAAACCTTTCAGAATCTGTGAAAAAATTATCAGGACCGTATTTAAAAAACAAAAGTTGATGATGGTTCCACGCATACGAAACGTCGCATAAAAAATCGGTATCACCACGTTAAACCTCATCAAAAGTTGCAATGAAAAAGTATTTTCAGTTTTTCTGTATCTCTGATAATAACGGAGAAAAAAAAAATAGAAATTCCAAAAATTCACTTTTTCCGATATAACTCAAAAACTGAAAATAATTTTCAAAATTTTCGAAGGCTCTTGATATGATCCTCCGAACGCGCAACTTTTTCCCCATTTAAGCGACTTCGTATCTCCTACCGTTTCCGAGATCCCCATGCTGTTCAACCTTATCTTGGGACAGACTGTATTGCATTGAAAATGGATTACAGTTCAATTCAAAACAATGAAGCTGAATTCAATCACTCACTTTCAAGGTAGAAAGTACTTTTGTTTTCTATTCTATACCTAATGATCAAACCATCAGAATTTCGTTTCCTTCCTTTTTTCCTTTTCTTGAATTGAAGCTGACATCTCGAAACATGAATTTACGATTTGATCGAAATTTAATTCACTAAAATTGGACGAGAATTGGAAAAGTTACACGAGGCGATCAATTTGGCTAGTTTTTCTTCTGGCCGGTTTTTTTGTCGGTAAGTGTATTTTTGAAACTGTTCACTACTCTTGACAAAAAAACTACATCCACTTTTTCTGAAGCCTACTGCTCTTCTCTAATTTTTGTTTCATTTTCAGTCAATCCGTGGCTTTTTTGCCAATTTTATAATTTGAACTTCAACAGACACCTCAATAATGACGCTTATCTCTGAAAATCTTCAACCAATCAAATCAAGTACGTTGAACATCAGTTACCACATTTTCATAACTCAATCAGCTAGCATGCAGTTTTAGCTCATGATTGATAAACCGGTTTTTGATTTGATCATAATTTCTTCAAAATTTAAGAGGAAATGCCTGCTAAATAGAGTTGGGACGCCTATAACTGCCTATGCCACATTGTTTTCCATGAAACAACTATGCTATGCTATACTTCAATAAACAGGTGCCACTGTAAACAAATTAGTTGTGTCTTCATATAGGTAAAAGAATAATATGACAATAGAAGCTGCTCTCTATCTTCTTCTTATTATGCAACTGAAGTATAGAAAAATATAAACAAGATAACAAAAGGTGCACATCATTACACACACACTCACACACACATTCATTACAATCATTTAGCTGAGGTTCAGTACAATATATATTTTCTGTACCGAAATCTACCGCCTTGCAGAGTCATGAAACTTGTCTAATGAAATATTTGAGAGAAACTCACCAACTTTTGTATCAACAACAAACTATCGAGTTAACACAACCGAATTCAGGTAAGATATAACAAGCAGCCATGAAAATACTTCAACAGACATTTGAGAAAGATCGAAACATATTGTGAGGTATAGGTGCATGGCAATAATCGATATAGGAAAAAATGCTTATCTCAGTTGAACCTATCTATTATCACTGAAAATTGACATAAATTGATAAGACACGAATAGTTATAGATCAGACAGGTAAACATGTTTGGAGATTTAGTTTAGGTAACGATGTAATAGAAGACGATAGCACGAACGAATTTTCGCACTGTATTGTGTATACTCCAGTCCTCTTTGTGAGATAAGTGAAGAATATCATGATGGCCATATTAGACAGGCCGGTAATGACAGATTTCGTGCAATGTTTTGTTACTAAAGGCATCTTTCAAGTCATGATTTTCATGAATTTTCATCATGTCCTAGTAGTGGCCCAGCGAGCACAAAAACATCTCAGAGATGTTAAAAGTACGAGATTTCGAGACATTGAACCTCCACTGCGATGTTCTGTTCACACATGAATAGAACTATTATAGAACAGCCAATGTCCGCCGCAGGCGGCAATTATCGAGATGTCCTTGATATGTCACAAAACTACCTTCTCCCTAGTTCTTTTTAAAGCCTTTTCATGGACACAACAGAACATTTTCAACGCTTCTTGCGCACATTAAATCGCTGTAAAAAAAACATTTTCGAGGTACTTTTCTGAAGCCTTTTGTCAAAATGAACTTTTGCATTAGGATTCCATTTCCCTTGAATGTAAAAATGCATTAAAAATAGATTGAACATAAAAATATTTTCTTGATATGAAATTACCTTCTTAATCGGATTCTGAGTAGTGCTTACTACATACAGGAAAATAGGTTTCCCAATTTTTGAAATGTTCTCCACAATGCACAATTTTGCAACTGCGGAGAAGCTGTGTATCGATGAATTCGTACTTTTATATATTGATTACACTGAGGCACCGAACAACACATCTTACATCTGGTGGTCATTATTACAAACTAAATAAGTCTTCTAACACAATAAACTTCACCAAATTCCTTTCTGTTCGTTAGCAGCGTGATGTAAGCGTGGCACGCTGCGAACGCGAATGCCAATTGCGAACAAGAAGAACAAAATCGGAAACAAATCAGAATTTATCGTATTGTGACGTAAGCATGAGACGTTGTGGTGGGGCAAACAAAGAAAGGACACAAAAGAACAAAAACAATTCTTTCAATATCCTTCTAAGACCTCTTTGGGAAGTGCATATTCCTCCTCAAACATCCTCATGCCTATATTTCTAAAACATCCCAAAACATCCCAGGGATACCTCTCAGTAGGCAAACAAAGAAATGCCACAGAAGAACAAAAACAATTCTTCAATATCCTTCAAAGACCTCTTTGGTCAGTGCATATTACGTCTCAAAATAACATATTCATGCCAACATTTTCAAAACATCCGAAAACATGCTCGCTGGGGAGGAGATGATGTCAGGAAAAACGACCGATCTGCACATGCAGGTAGTAGATTTGGGTGACATGGGACGATTTTGAGATTCAATTGACCGTATAGTTGAGAAACTTTAAATCTTTTCGCCCTTTAAAAAATACTGAATCATGCCAAATACTTGGGACTACAAAAGTTGGGATGGAATTTGGTGCAAAAAATGAACCCGTTTCGGTAAAAAAATAAAACTTGCTGTCCCAAGTCATCCTTCGATTTTGAACACTTGGGACACATCATCATTTTGCATGATTCATCAAAAATCGGAACAAATATGAATGTTTTTTGGGGCTACTAGGATGATTTAATGATGAGGCACAATAATATAACTGTGAATTTCATATCTCATTCAAAAGATCATCACCATCGAAACCCTGGTTCATCAGGAACTGTTCTAGAACTGTTGCCTTGAAACAAACAGCCTACCATCGCTGGCGCAAAAACCCTAACCTCGCGACTAGAGCAGAATACGTTGATGCCAGGAATAACTGCAGCCAAACAATAGATGCTTCGAAAGGAACATACAATGCCAAGATAAGATCGAAACTCATCAAGGCTCCCGTTCGTTTTGGTCCCTTGCTAATGCGGTCGGAAGAAATTTCACAAATAGTTCATTTTCACCACTGTCCAAATCCGACGGCACATTAGCAACAACATCGCAGGAGAAAGCAAATATTTTTGCAGAGATGTTCGCAGCAAACTCTACTTCAGGTTCCCAAGGAAAAGTGCCGCCAGACATTCCACCCGTTGAGAGTCGAATACCCGAAATCGTCTTCCATCAACGCACTATCAGACGAATTTAGCTTGGTCTCAAAACGAATAAGGCTAACGGTCCTGATGGAATCGCACCCATTATCCTCAAAAAAAGGGCACCAGAATTAACACCGATTCTCTGCAAGTTGTTTACCGTCTCGTACAGGTCGGGTATTTTTCCATCATACTGAAAGACAGCTAGAGTCCAACCAATCCCCAAAAAAGGGAACAAGAACCTGCCTAACCTAACCTAACCTAACCTGCCCATTGCCCTGTTATCAGTAATCTCCAAAAAGATGGAGAAAGTCATCAATATTGAGCTTATCAAATATCTGGAGAGCCCAGAAATCATCAGTGACGGCTTTCGCCACCGAATATCTACTTGCCTACGTCACCCATTTATGGCATGCTTCATTAGAAAAACACGAGGAATCTCTTGTTTTCGCATTGGACATATCGAAAGCATTCGACCGTGTTTGGCACGAAGGACTCCTCCACAAACTACCATCATACGGCTTACCACCTCAGCTATGCCATCTCTTATCGAGTTTTCTTTCAGGCAGATCGCTTCACGTGGTGGTAGACGGTGTATCGTCTGATACCATTGGCATCAATTCCGGCGTTCCACAAGGATTAATTTTGGCACCAACATTATTCCTTGTTCATATCAATGATCTCTTGGGAGTAACAACTTGCCCCATCCACAGCTTTGCAGATGATAGTAACCTCCATGCTGCGGTCTCTTCCAGATTTCCCATTTCTTCCCAGGAAACTAAGAACTCACGACGCAGGCAGGTCAATGCTGTCAATGAAAACCTTGTTGAAATCACAGCCTGGGGAACCAACAACCTAGTTGAATTCAACGCCACCAAAACTCAAGCCTGTATTTTCTCTAGAAAGGCGAAACTCAGTATGCCCGATATTGTAATGTCTGGCACCACCATCCCCACCAAGCACACGTACCATATCTATGCTTGGTATTTCTATCAGCAACACTCTTTCATGGGATAATCACGTCAAATCCATCGCAAAAGCTGCTTCACAAAAACTCGGATTCTTGTTCCGTGCGAAAAGCTACACCTCAACAGCTTCTCATGATCTACAAAGCGCAGATACGGCCTGTTCTAGAATACTGTTTCCACATATAGAGTTCAGCACCAAAACATACGCTGATGCTCTTAGATTCCATCCAGAGAAGAGCCATTCGCCTGGTGGGTGACGCCACACTCACTCACTCTTTGACATCATTGGAACACCGTAGAAAGGTCGGCGACCTTTCACTTTTCTATCGATACTTCCACGGTAAATGTTCTTCGGAAATCTCTGCTATTATCCCTTCACTAGCAAAACCAGTCAGACGAACTAGACAAGCCCAGTCAGCACATCCTTTCGTTGTCTACCTCGAAAGATGTCGAACAGCATTTTATCAAAACTCCTTCATCCATAGAACGGCTAGGCTCTGGAATTCATTGCCTGAGGAAGTATTCCCAACAACATATAATCTCCAGAAGTTCAAAAAAAAATCCCAATACCTACCTCCTGTCCCTATCCTCCCTAGGAACGCACGATGTTCTTTGAACATTATAGGGATTTCCTTTCGTGCGCTCCAAGCGATAAAAAAAACTTAACGAAGGCGTCTGTTGAATGCAAAAAACAGAAAATTAACCGAATTTCTGATCAAAAAGTTGAATATTAGTGATTAGAAAATCATGCCCTCTTTGTGGAGGTAGCAATTTCACTGAAATTTGACCAACTTTCGCAAGGGTCTGACGTGATGACCTGGGGAACATGTCCTTTCTTAAAAGAACGCGATTTTGCCTCTTCCACAATTTTGACACATCAAGGGGTTGTGTGAGGTGTGTACTATTGGGTGGCAATAAGATGAATCGAATTTTGTTATTTTCACATTCCTGCAAAACTTTAGGCACATTCAGTTTCTTGAGGTAGGGTAAAGCTATCGTCAGAAACCAATCTTCAAAAAAACGGTAGTCCCAAATGACCCTATAAAAGTAACCATCAAAAATGAAGATCGTAATTCCAAAAAATATAATGAAAAGTAAGGTTGATAATACTAGGTTGAAGTTTTGTGATATGTTGGGTAACACAAAAAAAACTAGAAGTATACCTGTGTCAAATAATCCATTGTTTGGCATAGGAAGTGTAATCGCCATGAAAACTTTTTATTTACTCTCCTGTATTTGAAGTTGATACACACCGACACTAAACCTAAACAAATATCTCATCCCTCGTAAATGACTACCCTGACATCTACCGAAGCCCTCTGGTACTACAGTTTTTACCAACCGATAAATGGTAAAACATGATTTATAATTTATGTAATTTGTCCCAATTCACACCAATGTCCCAAGCAACCCAATTCTACGTATCGAATGTCATTCATATGAGAGAAATCACCTAGGTACTATTAACAAATTCTAGTTTCTGCCACTCCAAATCGGTCCTATTTTGTTAATAAACAATTATCAATATTTCGAAGTAGCGGAGGAATTTGACCAATCTGCACTAACCCCAAAATGTGCAAATGCTGCTTTCACCAAAAGAAAGCATACCAAACTATTTTGTCAAGTCTGACTGTTCGGAAAATCATTCAGGAACGGGTTTTTCTATGGAATAGTATATTTCATTACGAGTCTGGAAATAGATATTCCGGGCGCGTGTGACAAATTCTCGTGTGAGGCGAAGTCATGCAAACACGGAAATAGTATATTGTGCAACAAGTGGAAAAAAGTTCAACTTTTCTCACGAAGGTGGAAGTTTGTGGCACGAACCTGAAGGGCGAGTGATGCAAACACACGAGTGAGAAAAGTGATTTCCCCACATGTTGCACACTATACTTTTTCTACAACTGCACTTTATTCGAAGAATCCGAGTAATGTAGCTTATTGGTATTAATTTTA